GTTAACCCAATGCAAGGGGGAAAGGGGAAAGGGGAAAATGTTGAATTGGGAGCAATCGACTGAAAGTAATTTTTCAAGAGATTCATTTTAAGGCAATTCCAAGTATCTAAGCTTCATATTCGTTTAATAACTGAATACATTTGCGTTGTAGAAAGCGAAGATCGCTATTAACAATTATTCCAGAAAGTAAATTTCCCATGTCAACAGGCTCAAGTGCTGTAGGGTCGAAGCACTTAAGCATGATTTTTTTTTCTGTAGCTTTTCTTTATCGTTTTTGATGTGAAATGAAGTTGTTCGGTAGAAGAGCAATCCGCTGAAGAAGCTTCGTGATGGTGTTTCAACTTCTACCACTTGCCTTAAGAATCTTTCTCTAAGTTGCCCAACATGCAACGAATAACATCACAATTATGAGAATAATTAACTAAACATTATCTTCCTTATTACAATGAAGTTTGACGGAATACTATTAAAATTCCATTAAGTTCGTTAATTAGAACATTAAAGCATATCGTAGTATCTCTTATCGATGAAATAATTCACTCATGCGATCGTCAACTTGACTTCTCACAGTTTTATACAATGTCCCTGGACACGCTTTCTACATGCTTCTCTGGTGGTTGGTTGGTTGGTTGGTTCTATTATGTGCATAGCTACATAGGACTTGTTTAATAAGATTTAACAAGAGTTTGACAAAGAGATAGATTGTAATTCTTTACGTACTGCTACCGTATTATATGTACTACGTATTATGTATTTACACATGAATAACTTTGAAGAGGTAATCATTAGCCTAATAACAATTATAAGCGTACTCTGTTCAAATGACACAAATCCCCTAAAGTCTCACGTCATGTGAAGTCTATAGAAAAACTTGTCGAATCACAATAAAACTACAATTTACATAACAATGCTTGTAAGATTTTTGCAATTCTCTAAAATACAATATGGTAACGTTTTTCTTAACAGAATTTGTTGGAATTTAGAACAAAGCGGTATTTGAAGCAAGTCCCACACTCACGATGGAGCAAAATCTCTTTAATGTTTGATGTTGAAATGTGTGCATGTCGTTAGCATTCGTAGATACCTGAGCAACATAAGGCAATGAGGTGTTGTTTTACCGCAACTTCTCTCTCGAAGTTAGCAGTTAACGGGCTTGACTTGTGACATAAACAAATGTACCGCAATTGTTTTCTTTATTTTTTGTACCGTGCACGGCGATAGACTTCACGACGCTAAAACAATTTAATATAATTGAATTATTTGAATTTAAATACTTCGAGTCAAAGAATACTTTTTGAAAAAAGCTGAGCTAATTTTAGTTTAAGAAATGGGGGATTGTGGGATTGATTGCTGGACGCGCAAGTTTATTATAAATACTCTGTAGAGCAGTGCAAAGCCTTTTGGCGTCCGAGCTTGTAAGCCACTGTTACGCACTCTTAGTGCTCTCGAGCAACAGGTTCAATTTACTTTATCGCTCAGTATTCTGAAAATTTACATGTAAACTAAGATTATATGTAACTTGTAAAGTGGATGGAGTATTGGACTGAATACAATTCTCTGAATTTCTCCAACTTCCTTTTCATACGAATTTCAGATTATTCATTCATATTTATCTTGCAGACAGAGTTGAAAGAAAGAGAGGTAGCTGGGAGAAAGTTTTTAAATTCCCTATCACATGCATATAAATCCTTCCATTTATATTTTTGAATCCGAACTGGTGGTGGTCAAGAATTGTAATTTTATTTTTGGAAAAGTGCCGTTAACCTTCGTAAATGTATTCTTTCAAATATTGTGGAGGCTGCTACCAATACACTAATTGTTTCGTTTTTGCATATTAAAGTTAAAGAAGAAATGCTAAGAATGTGAATACTTGAAGTGGTGACGAGTTAACAGCTATTCCCCATAGGAAATCAAGGGCAGGAGATGTTCTGGTCTATAATATTGCAAGAGCTTTTTTTACCACAGCAGCAACGTATGCATCTGGTGGGCCAAAGGACATTGCCTGCCCAAGTAACTTAGTAAACTTAGTAAACTCCGTTTAAAGTCGACTTAAAAGTTTCTCTCCAATGAAGCTGGAAATTTTCAAGTTGAGGCATACATTTCTTCACCAATATCCAAACCTTCTTCTTATAAGAACGATTCGTTTCTTATTGGACATTTAAGATACTTGGCTGCTGCTCTTCATGAGCAGTGTCGATCGAATTGAATTTTTGAGAAGTTCGTCTCATATTTCGATGACACGTCGACGTAGACTTTTCGCAGCTCTCGTAAAAGTTGTTCTATTTGTAGAGCCTCTGCAGTTATGCCATTGTGTTCTTTATCTTGTTTTAGTTGAGATCATCTGCGTTACCGCTTATCATAATGATGCCCAGATCCTATCAAAGTTCTGGAACTGGGTATAAATCCAGTTTCGCGAATTGAATTTGTAAAACAATCAGTCCATTATATCGTTAATTGTTTGTGTGCTTTCAAGCCTCACACAAATTAATAAATAATTGTGAATTCAATCTCTGCCAAATCTTTAAATCATTTTTCTTTCTTTCCATTTTCGTTTACGCCCCTTTGTAGGTGATACTATTTTAACATATCTTAATTCTATGCACCGCTTTATAACACATCTTAACATCTTGTCATCGCTTGCTAACTGTGCTAATACGTTGTAAAATTTCTTTTTTCTTTTTTTTCTTTGTGAAAGAAGAGTTATTTCATTCATATCTTATCAAAGACAGCAATCACTATAAGTAGAGTGAGAACATTTTTTCAATATTTTGACCGACCAACAGATGGCAGCAAATAGAGGAGTGAAAAAAGTTTTTGTTTTGAGAACACTTTTCTATGTGGAAGCACATGCTTAAGCAATTCAAAGAAATTTTCTTTCAAGTAAAAGCATTGAGCAGATATATGCTTTAAGGTAGTTCTTTGTTATATAATGTTTTTAATATTTATAAAGAACTTTCCCTTGGATTGAATATATAATTGAGTTGGCGGTTATTGAAAGTGGTTAGAACAAAGCCACTTCGCAACCCAACAGCTAGCTATACAAGTGAAGTTTCTTTTTTACTTAGTGTGGGAGAAAAATTAAAGGAATAAAAAGAACAAAAAGATCGCTCGCGCGCATCGTACTCCTTATTAAGGATTAACACTATTTAGATTGTTGCCAATAAATGTGTTCACTGGCTTACTACATGTTTTGAAACTTTTGCAATTTACGTAACAAGTTCATCGTTTGCAAAATATATTTTTTCCTTGAAATTTCTGGCTTTTCCCAAACGTTATGCCAAATGAACGCCTGCTGCCCTAATATTTTGCCTGTTGGTTTCTATTTTCTCCAATACACTTAGAGAAGGTTTTGCGGTTCTCAAAAGAAAATATGCTAATGTCACTTCAACAAGGCGATCGTTATTGCATGTAAATATTTTCTTTCCCCTTTAGTGTTTTACTATCAAATTCTTAATGTACGTTGATACAAAGAGTTCACAAAATGTTGACTGTTAAGGGGGAGAGTTAATATATGCCTAACGACTAACGACTTGCATTTCGTAAGCGTAAATTTATTATCAAGAGGCAATTATTTGTTGTTTTCTATTAACAAAGCTAGAGGTGGGCTACTCCTTTATCAGACTTATTGAACAGAACTTGGGATTTAGAATCATTTATTCGAATAATTGGAAGCTGAAGGAAATGCTCTGACAGTACAAATGAAAACGTATGGTAGTAATATCTTAAATTAAGCCATTCCCGACGACGATTCAATAATTGAACACCACAGAGAAATTCTATAGATGAAGCCGGCTTACGGAACTTGCTAACCTAATGCAGAGATGCTAAAATTGAGACCTGCCGGGAGTTGTATTTTATTTATCACAAAATCTGCTTTGCGCGTCGAGGCAGGCGCACTATTTGCTGTTATCTACACAAAAATGTGGTATAATTTAGTTGAATTTCGAACAAGCCATCTTCAGGTAACATTAAAGAATCCTTCAATCTTTTTAGACTGTATGATAATCCCTTTGTTGTATTACGAAAACCAATCTCCCTTTTTAACAAACTATAGCTTTTCCTATACAGATTGTGCGGGTGCAACTCGGAGAAATACATGAGAAAGACCCGCCTTTTATTACCTGTTGAACCTGTACTTGTTCGTCCGTCTGTATTTAATCGATAGGCCGCAGTTTTTGGGATATTTTGATGATCGACGTGCTATGGTCCAAGGACAAACACTATTGAAAATGGCTCCGATCAGACCACATCCCGTTACAACGTGAAGACAAAAAATAAAATACAAACTTAAACGCATTAGCGGCGTCCATCGAACATTCCCAAAAAATATTTTTCTGCCATCGTTTGCCGAACGCCAAAGCTACTAAACTCAAAAGGCTACAAATTTACGACAAAGCGACAAAATGCCTGAATCAGAAACTCGCCTTCCGAGCGATGACCACTCTCGTAGTGTGGCCAATCGCTGAGACGTTCTAGTAACTTCCACAAGAATCCTAGTTTTTGACGGTTTTCAAGGACAAGAAGGAGGAACGAGATAAATGTACAATATATAATCCGCTAAGGTATGGGATCAACTAATGTTCAATTGCTTTTAATCAAAGCTATCTAAGAAAGGGAAATTAAACCCGTTCGCTAATGCGAAAGCATCCCGCAGCCATGGGTATTGCAGTTGAAATTAAAAGTTCAACAAACTCCTTGATATTAAAACTTATTATATTTCGATATACATTTATTTAACTAACATATTTGTAATAAATATCTGCGCTAGTAGACGTTACGTATGAAAACATATAGAAAATTAATATTTAAAACATTTGTTCTCTAGGGCGCGTATGTTTATTATCTATGAAATCACTTTCGCATATGTAGCTAACTACTTTCATATCATTATAATTTTTTATAAAATATTAAGAAATTTAATACAAAACATCATTAAAAAGAATGAGCAAATATATGCGCGTACCATACAGGATACATTTATTGGAGCATAAGGGTATACACTATAAGAGAGCTTCAGCGTAATTAAAGATAGATTTCTTTCTTACTCATACGATGGAAATTTGCATATTGAACGCGTGTGTGTATGGAGTTTTAGGAGATGACGGAAGATAAAGCAAAAAATTAGGTTAAGTAGTTAGTGCTGAAGTGAATCAAACCAAATGTGCGGTTTCAGTTATCAATGTGTGCGATGAGTTGATGTCTGACATTTCTCGCTTCGTGACTGTAATGCATTAGAGTTAACATTTTTAATAGCTTAAGGTTTTGCTTATCCTCGACTGCTGTTGATTTGCGGGCGGTTACGTGATGATGTGGGTGGTGGTGGTGGTGGTGTTGGTGGTGTTGGTGATGGTGTTGGTGGTGGTGGAGATTCCGCATCACTGGCTCTTGACAAGTTGTTGTCGTTGCTGGTGCTTCCTTCATTGGCATTGTTAGGCTTTTTATCTTCGCTGCACGTGTCTGCGGTCGGCCGCTGGTTGCGAGGATGCTGTTGCTGTTGCTGTTGATGTTGCTGTTGTTGTTTGTGTTTGTGTTCTTGGTGTCGTCGTTGTGATAGTCGAACTGGGTGAACTGGTTGTGTGTACAATGAAATGTGGCCATGAGCGACAATTGCTGCTGTCGTTGCTGTACCATGAATTTCCGTAAGCTGCTGCTGCTGCTGCTGCTGCTGCTGCTGCTGCTGTTGTTGTTGTTGATGCTGCTGGTTGCGGTCGTGGTGGTAGCGGCTGACTGGTCTTGTCTTTAAAATACTTAAATCATTAACATTTTCTAAAAAACTTTTATGAGCTGACAATTGTTTCACACTTTCAACATCCTTTTTGAGTTCCTCCATGTCACGCTTCAGTTTCGCCCGCCTGTTCTGGAACCATGTGATGACCTGTGTAACGCAAACATAAACAATATTTTTCCTCTTAGTCTTTTGTGTTTTGCATTTTAAATGAAAGCAATCAACGTTATGGACTAACCTGGGCGTTCGATAGGCCCAAACCGGCAGCGATCTCATCACGATCAGCTGGCGAGAGGTATTTTTGGTATAGAAAACGCTTCTCCAGTTCAAATATTTGATGATTTGTAAACGCTGTCCGCGATTTGCGTTTCTTTTTCGGATTGGGTCGCGCAGCGAATATACTTAAGGTGGCGGGATCTAAAAGAAAGCAAAAAAGAAGAATCAATCATCATTTGCGTCTTATTTACCGAACATAAATTTCTATTCAGTTGAACAAACTTTGTAAGAACGAAAATTTTTAATGATTTAAGTGTTGCGAGTGTTCGCTCACCTTTCATCTTTTGAAAGCCACCCGTTAATTGTATACAAAGTATGAGTTTTAACATTTCTTCCTTTCTCTATCTCTCTTACCTAAACATATCTTGTTTGCTTGCCTTTGATATTTTTATATGGATTTTGCTACAAAAATTTATGATCACTTGCTTCTTCCTGCATATATATGATTGATTGATCAGCATTTTATGTATGTGAATCGCATATGCATACCAAAATTGCAAAATTGCAATTGTTTACAACACTTTACAGTACTGTTTGGCTAACAAGCTCTGACTTCTTTGTTAGATGCGGGGGCTCACAGGAATTTTAATGGGATGCGAAGAGAGCAGAAGTATTTATCTCTTTGAAATCATGTTTTTTGTTTTATGTAAACGGATTGCTTTATATAACATATACGGATAAAGAATAAATAGTTTCTTGTGAACTGCTGGTGCAAACTCAACAGTCAATGTATATATATACAGTGTATATGGGGATTAACGCAACGTTCAGATGCGCTCGAACTAGAAATGGCAGTTGACAAGGAATGGGAACACAAAGAGGTGTAAAAAGGGATAGAAAATGTGAGTGAGTGTGTCTTCATAGTTTGCCATATGTTTAGTATTGAATTAGTTATAAAATTCACATTTTATTGTGTTTGTGTGTAAGCCTTTTACATTATGTAAATGACTGCGTGAGTAAATACTTATTCGTATGCAGGCACAGATAGGTAGTAGGTATAGGTGGATATGTGAGGACATTAAAACGAGAATTTATACTAAATCCCAACCTTGCACCAACCAATTTACTTAAATGTAATTAGTTGCTATAAAACATGCACATCACGCAAACGCGTGACGGAACGAATGAAATAAAAGAGAAAGAGGGCAAGCAAAACACATATACAGTATCCTACGGGCTTTATTTGTTTTCATTTTAGGTCAATTTTTAAAAAACATTTTTTTCTAATAAAAAATTATTACATTTTCTCACATCGTTTCTCTAAAGATTAGTGCCAATCTATTGATTTTAAAAATCGGAGCAAACTAAGTACTCTGGCTTGCGCCAGCTTCATATCCTTTCCAGAATAATTGTTCATTCTATTGAAACCAGCGACCAGCGATGTGAGTGGAAGAGTGGCTCTTCAAAATTAACTACGCAATAATTTGAATGAGATCTGCAAACTTTTTTCCTTTTTTTTAATATCGACGATGCGCTTGTTGACTGAATATGAATTTGCTCCATTCTACAGTAGTTCATGTTGGTTGTAAAGGATCTTTCGTCAAGAAAAAAAGCAGAGTTTTACGTTAATAATGCGATAGGTTTATTTTTTCACGAGCCATGTGGAGCCTCTGCCCTGCTGAAAACAAATATCGCTTACGTTCATAATATCAATTTCAGAACATCGTCCGGCAACACATCCATTCACCGTAATGATCGAACCTGTAGTACTTTCAAAACGTGCGTCGCCAGTCCACAAATGGCACGAAACTTGTACTCATTGTGATTGAAGGCATTTACGATTATTTCTCTTGTATTTACGGATCCCTAGATATCATAGTTTGGTTTGTTCCCTTACCAAGAGAGAGGAGATGAACTAACTAACACATTTGGGCCATTACTGTCAATTGTCAAGGTGAGGAAGTTAAATTGCAGTTTAACTTACTCCTAAACAATCCAAGTCCATCTAAAAAATGTTATGAAATGCGTGCGAATAGCGGTTTCGATGCAAAACAATATTTACTTCCGTCAATTCTTTTCATTTTTTTTTTTTTGAACAGAACGCAAATAGAAAAAGTGTTCACATGAGGTGTAACGAAGTTTTCTACTAAAAAATAAAAGTGAAAGTCACAGTTTCGTAATAAGAAAAAGTAATCTTTCAGAAATTCCGTAGCAGCTATAGCTATTAAAAAAGTCGTATACTTCGATTCTTTGGAGATTCTCGATGGTTGCCACATTATGCCTAGCAATGTTTATTCGAATGAAGTAAAATCTATTTACGTAACAATGCTGATGTCATTTTAATCACTATACTACTACTTACTACATGCTCTTCATGGAATAGCGGAAAAAGCTCAACTTTCTTACTATGAAGTCACGTGCCACAAGTTCCATTGACATGATTAGCAAATGTATTAACTGTTAGTTTGCATACATTCACATTTGGGCACAACACAAATAATGCCATCATTCGCATGCTTGGAAGGAGAGAATGAATTTCTTTTTATTTTATTTTATTACGTTACTAAAATGAATGATTATCCGTACAACTTTGACAATGAGGACACATTGTTCATTATAGTTTAATATGCATTTCGTTTCATATATAACCGTATACCTCGCAGGTTTGAACTGCCTGTCTTCTCACTTTACGAATTCGTGCACGTTAAGCTATAAGTAGTTTGTAGTTAAAGTTCATTTATTATTAGAGAGATATGTGTGGAATAGAAGGTACATTAAATTTATCCTTCAGCATAAGATACGTAGGAGTAGATTTAATCCCTTGTTTAACCCGTCCGTTAGCTATAATAACTGAGTGTGCCCTGAGTGTATTCTTGGAAGCTTCACCGTCACAAATTCATCTTGAAAATGCAGGCTCTCACATCCGCATGTGTATGCAATGTGTGTGTTAACTTAAAATATAGATAATTTGAATATTTACTGGCGATTTAAAATCTCACTACAAGCGTAGGCTACATCTGCCGAGTAAGAAGCGAACAATGCCTACAAGAAAGCCAACTTACGGCTCGTAAAAGATCTTGAAAAGGTTCTACTGTATTCTCTGTTGTCGCATACCTTGCATCGAAAGTAAGTAAGACAATCGAGATAAAAATTTATGACGAAATGTCCGTGTTTCGTTCCGTTTAAATAGAATTCATAAAGGACTTTTAACAAGCGACCACTCCACGGTGTGAACATGAATATATTGAGATGGCAACTTTGACTACCAAACAATAGGTGGTTGAGCGAAAACGCGGGTTTAACTCATGTTTTTGCGCTATTTGGTCACAAAATGCTGATGGTCACAAAATCCTTTATACCGCCTTGATGCCCTTTACACTCGTCATAATATGTACATCGCATATTTTAGTTCATCGATTCTATCAGTGAATGTTTTTTTGTCTCAATCTACGAAATTTTTTGCAAAACAAAGACTGTCTCCGTCTGTCCGTTGAAGATTTGTAAGTCGATTCCAAAAGTACTTCAACTCACTAATAAAGATTCTCTTTCTTGTCTGCTTAATGCTTTAGTACATGTATCCTTAAATGAAAATGTGTGTTGTTCGTTAGGGCAGTTAAATGATTTGCTTCCGCGAGTGCGGGACATTTTTTCAAATCGTGTTCAGCTAAAACTTTTTCCATCGTGCGTCATATCATACATTTAGTCAGAGAAATTCTAAGTTAGTCTTAAAGCACTAGCATCTAAGGCTATGGGCTGTATTGACGACTGCACTACTGCACTTGAGATTTGAGAACACGCTTATTGAATTGAGTCGGGATCCTTTGCCTCCTCAGCCATTCAGGCGGGTCATATATATGTATATATATAACTAAAAATGTATTAAAAATTAAATTTAATAAATTTTCGGTTGATATGTCTGGAGTTCAGTCATAGTTAACAGAGTTAATTCAATAGTTGTTAAGTGTAATGCTTTTCAGGAGCAATAAAAACAATATTTTGTACATAACGTAACATTGCACTTACTTCCATGAGAAGCCTATGTTTATTTCTTAATTGAGTTGGAAAAGAAAACTAAATTTTCGGTTTTCCTTTCATTTACCCCGAACAACGAGCGATATACTTTCAAACGTATGCACCTATTCAAGTGCGCAATCCTGTCGCCTAAGTTCTCTCTGACACCTTCTTTTAAGAGGTACATATACGGGCGGAAAACAACTTTCTTTTTAAATACTTGCCTTGTATCGGTACTGTTAGTTTTGAATCAACCGTCTAAAGGGTGATGATCGGTGGTGATCGCAAGATCGAGGAAACTTTAGGACCGTATTTGGGAAAATAGAAAGCACGCAATCAATGATACGATGTATTTGTCAAAGAAATGATGGAGATGTTGCAACAGCGGCAGATGTGAATGTAGAAATGCGCTTGGCAATCTTGCAACCGCTTTCAGTGATTGTTATCAGTAACTTTTCAAACTCTCTCACTTTTCAAATTTAATTAAAAAACATTTTCTTTCCGCACCAACATTAGTTTTAGTGCTAATGTGTCCGGTATGTGGACGTGTGAGGACTGACGGCCGGCTAGCTACTCGTTAATTTGATTTTTTTAATAACCATTTTATGTTTAGATTGCATGCCACACAATATCAGTACAGTTTTACAGTATGTAATGCCGTTGGTTATGTATGCACACATATATATGGACAGATTACTAGTGATCTTCTACTGGTACAAATCCAAGAAACAAAAAGAAAAAAAAAACAAAAACAAAAAAGACGGAAAACAAAACAAAAAACGGTTTCACACGCATTTGCAAGATTAAAAATCGTTTAAAAACATTTAATTCCCCACAAATTAAATACAAAACAATATTCGTATACATCATTTAACTAAATGAGATTTCATCAAATGATTTTCGATAATATATAGGCGCTCTTACGTGTATATGTGCCTGTATACGAACAGTCTCCATGTGTTTGTATTTATATAGAAGACATTCGATTGTGTTTATGAACGAACGGTTTAGTGAAAAAAAAAAAATAAACCGAAATAGTTTCAGCAATAGAGACAAGAAAACGTATTAAAGCGAAAATTTTTATAGTTTTTCTTGATAACTACCGTTTATGATGCCGCGCCTAATGATTTCTATATATATTTATATATATATATATATATATATATGTTTTTGCTATGATTTAAAGTTGC